TTTTTTTTTTTTTTTTTTTTTTTTTTTTTTTTTTTTTTTTTTTTTTTTTTTGTCTGTGGAAAGCAATTTGTGCAAGAACCGCAACACACACACACACACACACACACAGTATCAAATGATTGATGGCCCTACATTTCATGGCGGTCAGCTGGCCATTAACATGAAAATTATAATAATTAACAACAATAACGATAACGATACAAAAATAAAAGCAAACCATAGTACACATTCACATCAACTTAATTTTAAAAACGGACTGACCTTTCAGATGAGGTAGTATTTATCTCGACACTCAACTTCAGCGCAGATGCAACTTTCTCGGCAATCCTTTGTTTCTCCGCAGAAGCTAACCCATCAAGCAAGAATACAGCCCTTCAGTATCCAACCTTCAATATTTAAATTTGGAGTGACAGAAAGCATGTCAACCAACATGGAAAAAGGACTACCTGCTTTCATTGCCTCCTTAGCTAGTTGCTCGTCCAAACCTGAATGCTTTGCTTGACCACGCACAACTTCACTGTATAAACTCTGTCTTGTCTCCTCATTCCCAACTATCTTTACTTTGGATATTCTCTCAGGTCCAAGCTTATTAATGATAGATCTAACAATTAAGAAACACATTGGAAATATTAGCTTTAACATTCATATTGTAAAATTAAAAGAAAAAAAAAACAAACAAACAAATTACAACACTGTGACAAACATTCTATAAATTGTGAGAAAATGACTTTTAATCCAACATTAAAAAAAAATGTTTTTAACTGTGGTATCTTTAACATTAACATGAATATACCTAGCAATTTCTTCTCCACTTTTGCTGTAGGCTGTGAGAATAATCACAGGTATTCCCTCGTCATATGCATTGTCAATGAAACTGCAGAAATGAAATGTAGCTCCATTTAATAAAGAAACAATCAAGAGATTGATTTGTAGATACACTTTGACAATTGACATGATATCAACTATTATTGCAAGTGTTATCTCATTCGAAGTGAAAAGCAGCAAGCAACAGGTTAACGTGTATAGCATGACATTAAGCAATATCTGAAATTGTATCTTCCCTTACAAAGCTCCTAACATTTATAGATTGATAAACGACCGATGAGTTTCTAAGGAGAGTTAATTTTCCCACTTTTCATAACATTTCAAGGATAAAATCCTTACATTTCCTAGAATTTCATAAACCAATTTCATTTCATGATGATCTTGATCAGATTAAGCTATGCTTGCTAATATGCCTGCCTATTTTATTTCTATCTTCTGATGCTGCAGCCAACAAGTTTGAGGAGCTAACTAGGACTTCTTCAGAAAGATCCCAGTCTTGCATGTTGTGGTCATTTGAATAAAATGAGCATTAGAGAATCAGGCTTCTTCCATTTGGAAGTATATTGAAAATGGGAAGCCCATATAAAAAAGATTTAGACAAATCAGTAACTAAATGAGCATTATTGCTTCTGAACCATGGATCACATAGCCTGGCGTAACAGTATTTTCTTCCTCAAAAAAATAAAATAAAAACCAAATGAGCAAGAAAATCAAAACAATATAACATGATAACAGAAAGAAGTCAATTTCCCAACACGGCATCCAAACATCATAGGAAACCAATTTATTTCCACTCTAACAAGAAAGAGGCGTCCAAATTAGAATAGATGGACTAATTAAACAATATAGATGACGTAACAGGAATTCCCATGAACCATTCAACCAGGATTCAGTTAGGAGCACTCACTCTTCAACTCCAGGCCGTAAAGGTAAACTTTGTGAGACCATCAATTCATCTGATGCATTTTTCTGCCAATAATGGATCAAAAAAATGTTCCATCATATTTTTTTTTAAAAATTATAGGAGAGAGATAAAAAAAAAAAAACATTGTTTTAGCATCAGTTTAAATTGTAATACTCACAAGAGGAATGCCATAACAAATGAATATAACGTATAACAAAAGAAGTATATTCTACAAAAAAATAGTTGGAGATGGAGAGGGGCGGGTGGGGGCATGCATACAAACTTAAGCACCAGAAGATATCAACAAAGAATAAGACCTAGACGTGACTGGCTAATCCAGACAATCACTTGTTCTTCATTGTAAATAGACTCAATACATAGTAAGATTGTAAGCATTTGTATTCAACTCCAATCTCAACAAGATCCTAGATTCGTGTTTGAGATCACTAATTCAGGTCCTCCCTTCATAAGGAAAGATGCCTTTTTTTTTTTTTGTGGATAAATGGGAGTCAGAGCTTTGCTCCCCACCCGCACCCACCCCTAGGTCCAAACCTGGGAAACACTTAATCAAATGCCTAGTGGCATGATAAAAGCCGATGATCGTAAGCTATGTCCTCCATCACGATCTCGAATGAAATTATCCATGGATAAGGGGTTTGTGGTATTAAGCTCATCCAAGGGTTCGAATTTGGGGGCAGAAAGATGTCATCTTAGGAAGTAGTTTAGAAAGGAATAAATACAAGATAGTTTTAGGAAAGGGATAGAGAGGACCTGTATATTTGGGAGTGAGTCAAGATTATCAAGGCTAGATGTTTGTTTTTTACAAAGAAGTTATTTAATTATCCAATTTTTCTTTATCATTTCATCGAATTAAAAGCTTTTGCCAAGAAATGCATGGATGTCGGAAATTGAAAGGATGGAAAATCCTCATCGCAAGCTTTGTTACTAATAACATTTCAATACAATTTAAGTTATTTCCAAAGACATGTCAAAGAAGGGAGACAAGATTAACCGAATGGTTAAACCCTTCTCTCGTGAGGAGAAGAGAAAACTTTAAGATATATAGGTAAATTTTACAGAACTCGAAGCTTCTGAATACAAGCAAATATCTGCAAGAAAAATAATGGTTATGCACTTCTCTTTGAATTAACTGCCTGAGGGAACCTACAATCAAGCGCCTAAGCAATAACTGCCAGATATCTCATGCATATATGGTCAACAGAAGTA